TAAATGTTACATTAATAAAATTAAAAGAACACACGATAACATGAAGTTAAATTTATGTGCTAATAATAATATACATAAAATAATGTCTTAATTTTATTTGGTTTACTTTTTTTTTAAACCCGATGTTTGATCCAAAAAACCGTTTTAGGTTTTCGGGTAGGGCCGTAGGGGCCAAGGAACACCCTACCAATTTATTTGAAAAGAAAGCAAGTACATCGCTTAGAGTAGGAGAGCCAGACCAATGTCTACTCAGAAGAAAATACATAAGGATAACTAGTAGCATCAAATTTTAAGATACCAACAAAGCGATTAAAATGGTGAGTCTTGGCACTAATAGAAGTGTTTTTATAAGCTAAAAACTCTGCTGCGCAATTGATCTTTGGATGAATGTGGGTAATCGACCAGTTGTTGGTATTGATCCTTCTCTTGATTTCTTGTATCCGAGGCCAGCACCTCCAATGTTGTGCAACCACACCTGTTAGTCCTTCATAGATATCCCTATTATCCACCTCAATAATAAAACTATTCAAATTTATCTTCTTCATATTGAGAATAGTTTCTATGATGGCATCATAAGTAGCTAAAGTGGTGTCTCTATTGAGAGAAATATAGGTCATATGGCCAGTGTAGGTGCCGGATGCATTGCGGATAAGGGCTGCACTCCTAGCAAGTTGGGGAGTGAGAAGCCGAGTTGCAATGTTGATCTTATGGTATTTAGGTGGCGGTTTTTTCAAGTAGTTATGCTCAAAGCTGCCAATAACCTTTTTGGGCATCGTAATGGAAATGTTGAACGGGTTGTGGTTTTGAGTTGTGGTGAAGGGTTTGCAATTCAAAATGGCAAAGATATCAGTTTTTATAGCCGTTATCGCCTCAGGAAGAAAGGCATGTTTGATATCATGTATTACCTTATTCCGAATCTTCCAAAGGTTCCAAATAACTTTATTTGGAAGGACATAGTTTAGATCAGCAAAACCGCCTTTATACCATCCAAGAATATAATTTTGAATAAAAAACATGGGTCTTGATTTATAGTTGAAAAGAGTTTCAAAATGTTCACAGACCTTCATGTTAAAGTTGCAAGAAATGAAAAAGTGGTCAGTGGTATCCACGTTTGGGCAAAAAGGGCATTTCAATGGTAACCAATTTGGTTTACTTAATATATGCCCTTTATTTAAAAATTATACTCCCCCGTCACTTTTTATTTAGTCAAACACTATTTCTCCAAAAATTGTAATATAATATTATATATTATATTACATGGTAGTATTGATAATATGAAAATGTTCTTAGTTAAAAATACTATCATAAAAGTATAAATTTATTAACTTTCACATAAATATATTAGTTAAAATAATGGATCAAAATTTACCATCTTTGATGGGAAAAGTCAAAAATGGTTAAATAAAAAGGGACTAATATTTAATATTACTTTAGTTTACTCAAATGTGTCTTACCTAGAATACACGTGATGAGGATTTCAAGATCATTATAATATCAATGGCACTGATTTTTCTTTTCTTCAGACATGATACATGATATAAAAGTCAATATACAAATATGGACATATGGTAATCGTTGCAATATCATTTTTCTTATTTATAGAGAAAATATATGAATATTAATTAGCATTGGTAATTAATTACTAATAAAATATCATTTTTATTTTCTTGCTTGCGAGATTTGCGTAAGATCCATTTTAATGTTGCCTATAAAATAACATTATATAATCAAAGCTACATCTGTCCTTTAAAATCTTGCCATATTTGACTGACACAGAAAATAATTACGTAAAAACTTTATAGTTGATGTTTATGCATCAGAGGAGAAAGAAATAACAAAAACCACAAAATAATTTATTAAAAGGGAACGTGACAAAGTTTTTTGGGCCGGCGTCCCAAAAAGGAAAGATGACAAACTTTTATGGGACGGAGGGAGTATGACATATATGCGAGTTATTTATTAATCTCTTCTATAAAAAACTAAAAATCTATATCTATCACAATACGATGTAATATTAATCAAGTTATTATCTTGTGTACCCTAGATACAGTAAAGGAGCTAGGGAGGGGCATGAGGGGGCAAGCGCCCCCGCTTCGAGCAATTTTTTTCAGTACTACTACTTAGAATATACGTATTTAATGCCCCTCCTTTTTTCAAAAATAAATACCAATTAAAGATAATTTTATATTAAGCGCTAAAATAAAAGGTAAAGTCTTTCAGGAAATGTACGTGTCTCTAGAAATACAAGTATTGACTCATTTGATTGCACCATGCATACCACACTCATTTGAATGCAAATGTGTATTGTTTTAGACATTTAATGACACACGGTTTGACTTTTCGTGTTTATAGTGAGCAAGAAAGTGTTGAGTTTGACGAATATGTTGTCACATATCTTGTAATAAAAAAATTAAGACATTCTCCAGACTATGTTGGATTCCCTCCTTAGTGAAGAAATTCATTAGATTTTTAGATTTTTTAGAGATGTCCAAGATTCTATATATGTGTGTAGAGAAGTATTGAATGTTCTAGAATAATAATGCAGAGTTTTCTAGAGATGTGTGGAACTCACTAAAATCGTGTGGGAGTGTGTGCATGGAAGCCTCTAGAACATTTTGAAAAATTGTGGAGTTTTCTAAATCCCTCCAAAATATAAGAGAAGCTTGTAGATACTTTTTGGAAGAATCTAGATGTGTAGTGGTGTGTGAAAAATTCTAGAAAAACTTTGATGAGATTAATATAGAGAAGCTTCCTATTTATATGAGAACTTTGAGAAGAGCTCTTGAGTGAGTGAAAGTTAGAGTCTCCTTGAAAGAGGAGAGTGGCATGGGAGTCTTCTTGTGAGAGAAGAAGATTCAAATATATCACTTGATGAAGTGTATGTGCTCAAGTTAGGTAGAGTGAAGTAGTTTCAAATACAAAAAGTGAGTGAGGGCAGTGGAGGAGCTGGGCGGGGGCATGCAGGGGCAAGCGCCCCCGCTTCGGGCCAAAAAAATTAGTACTACCACTTATAATATATTTAATGTTCCCCTTTTTCAAAAATAAATACTCATTAAAGACAATTTTAGATTAAGTATTAAAGTAAAAGGCAAAATCTTTCAGAAAACGTGTCTCTAGGAATACAAGTACGTATTGACTGCAGCGTACGTCACTCATTTGAATGCAAGTGTGGATTGTTTTAGACCTTAAATGCCACACGAGTTGACTTTTCGTGGTTATAGTTCAAAAGAGTATTGGAAATAATGAATATGTTGTCACATTTCTTGAAACAAAATGATCAAAACATTCTCGAGACTATGTTGGATTCCCTCCTTAATGGAAAAATTCATGAGAATTTTAGAATTTGCAAAGATGCCTAGGATTTTGTATATGCGTGTAGAGAAGTATTGAATGTTTTAGAATAATAATGGTAAGTTTTCTATAAAAGTGTGAAACTCGCTAAAACCGTGCGGAAGAGTGTGGAAACCTCTAAAACATTTTGAAGAATTGTGGAGTTCTCTAGATCCTTCCATTAGATTAGAGAAGCTTGTGGATACTTCTTGGAAGAATGTAGATGTGCAATGGTGTATAAAAAATTCTAAAGAAGATTTGATGAGATTAGTATAGATAGAGGTAAGATTGCTCATTTCTATGAGAACCTTTTGAGTTTTGAGTGTGTAGATGAGTGTACAACAGTCCTATCAGCTCATTTTCCTATGCAAAATTTTGAACATATTAAAACTCGTATGATTGATTCACCCATATTATAGATATGAGTAAGTAGAATGTAATAACTAATTAGTGCTAATGTATTAAATTTTTTATTGTTTTTTATTATATTTTGAAAAAATACACCATAAATGTTGGTCTTCGGTATGCCCCGCTTCGAAAAATCTCTGGCTCCGCCACTGCCTAGATATATCCCTTGCATAGCACCGGTCATTTGTCTAGTTTAATAAACAATAGAAGCCTTTGCTTTGTTAAATGTTGTCCATTTAAATTTAGCCCTTTAATTAATGGGCAACTTAGGTTTCTCTCAGATCTATTACGTACTCTCAATAAGCTAAGTAATAGTTTATCACAATCCATAGGAAACACTAATAAAATGAATAATATAATACAAACATCACGTGAGTGTCTGAGTGAGTTCGTAAAAATGGTATGTGAGGGAAAGTGTACGTCTGTAAAGTGATTGCACTTGAATTGGAGAAATTTTCATTCACTCTGTGCAGTGTAATGCTTTAATTTAATTTGACCACCATGAAAGCTAGCTCAGCTCTTTCCGTTTAAGAAAAATCTCATTATTGTGAGGAGGTGAGAACTCCGGTACCCATTTAAAAAATGTGGTACCGTACCTACCATTCACTTGATTGGTCCACATAGGTATATCAATTTTAATTTAGACTTAAATAATTCAACTGCAACATTCTGATTGGCCCATGTGGACAAAGGTACGGTACCTTTTGGGTACCATAGGGTTTCGACACCTGCCAAACCCCCACGCACATAGCAACATGAACGCATTTGTGTCACATATATCTTTCGTTTCCGTTTGTCACTTTCAATACAAATAAATGCGGGCATGTTCCCCAATTTAAGACAAAAAATTAGCACCTTAAAATCCACACATTTTCCTATTTTCCAACATCACAAATCATAACTCTACTTTATACCTTACAAATGAAAGCTAAAAGGGGGCAAAGCCAGACTAGCTTCATTGTATGGGGGCCGGGATTTAATATACCCGAGTAAGTATTAAAATGTAAGGAAAATTTGCAATTTTGGTTTCATAAATATACTTTGTACTGTGCTCGTTTTTAGTCCTGATACTTCACTTTTGCACAAATTTGATCATGTAATGATTTTTTTTTGCAATTTAAATACTTTCCAACCAGAAAGTACACTTTCCTACAAATAATTCACCACAAAATATGCCGCTGAGGTCGATTTTTTTTTACAAAAAATGTACTTTCATTTGGAAATTTCCTTAAACTACAAAGACCTATTAATGATTCAACATGTGAGTAAAGCACGGGACTAATATTGAGACAATAAAAAAATGCATGACTAAAATTACAAATCTACCAAATAGTCCAAATATATAGATTAAGAATTGTCTAAATGCCTTCATAATTTTTTTTGGTTGGGGGCATGGCCCCCTTAGCATAATGATTACAACTAAAATAACATTATAAACTAAGTAATAAAGATAGACCATCTATCAACACAAATCAAACATAAAAACATACATTTATGCACTACATACTAACTAGTGTGCATCATATCTCGAGATCCTCCCCCTCGTGTAGGATGCCATTCTGTCGAGCAAAGGCATCAATCCTTTCCCGGTCAGACTGCCCCGGTGTATCGTCCGGTTCGGGAGGATCTCCCTCATTTCGCAGTCTCCAATTTGTTCCATACTCTTCAAAAGCGTCCTCGGCCTGAAACAACCTCCTGCAGGTGATGACCTCTGGGGGGGAATCGTTTCCGATGGGCCTTGGGTTCCCTATCCTGTCCGCTCTCCCTGTGGCGATGTTGTTCATGATGATATGGTCACGGATTCCACCGTAGGTCTCCTTGGATACATCATAACCGACTCGGAACGATACACAAGGCTTCCCTTCTTCTAATACATAGCGTTTGAACAAATCCTTGAACTGCTCGTCGTCCTCAACAAGCACTTCAAAATGAGCATTTCCACCGGGATTCATGTTGATGTCTTACCTTGATCTCCTATAGAAACCAACGTAGAAATGTTATTAGTAGTATTACATACCCCTTAATTACCAGCTGAGTTTATGTGTTAAAATATGCGTACGTGCACAAGATCGAGAAGGAAAACTTAAAAAATAAACAAAAATGAAAATGCAGAACAATTAAAGAAACGAAGAAGAATAGAAAGGCCGGAGAGCGCAAATATAAAAACATTGAATGTATCGCCTCCATAGACAGAGAGATCGAGATGGAAAAAGTGAGAGAAGGGAAGCTAGATCCCTCACATGAATACTCTTGTGGCAGACACACGCATTTTGCATTGCACACTAATATAATTAATCATTTGGTATTGGTCATCAAATATGAATCAACACAAATTCAAGCTATACCTAAACTTGAATAAGATTGAATCACTTAAAAAATCGTAAAGTCATAGGGCATTATATTTGTGTTTTGATGCATGCAATAGTCGGAGAAGTTGTGGGGAAGCAGTACGTTAGGGTTTAGGTAAAAGTGGAAATGTCTTAAAATATGCGTATAAGCACGAGAGGAAAAAATGAAAAAGAAAAACAAAAATGAAAATTCCTAGCAATTAAAGAAACGAAGAAGAATAGAAAAGAAAACGCAAAAAAAGAAAAGAAAATCATCTCCGAGAACAGCGAATTACTCCTTTCCGGAGAAGGATAAAAAAAAACTAAAACTTTACGCTGTTGAAGAACACTGGAAAGAAAACATACATCTTGGAGAACATGCATGCATTGAACTTCTTTTCAGAGATATATAAACAAAAAAATTAAAACCGTAATACCCTCCAAGTATAAGACACACACAGAGAGAGAGAAGGGGAGCTCGATTGATCCAAATAAAGCTGAAGGAAAAGATCGATGAACTAGCTAGTACGTACCGACCAGTTACTCTAAGATTCAGCTTGAAGTGGTTTACTAAGCTAGCTGCGATGCTTCATTTATAGTGGAGAACCAAGGGGCAATATTGGGAGGCAAGCGCCTCTTCGGCCCCCAAGACAGTACTGATACTTAGTCAGCGTAGTTCAAATGACCACTATATGATGAGTACTCTATCACAAGTTATTTTTGTATCACTATATGATGACTCTGTACATGAAATTTTAATCGCTGTAAAGAAATTTTTTGCCACAAATTTGAAGAAAATCTCAAGTTGAAACATTTATACGAAGTATATAGTTAAGATACTGATTTGATTCGTTTAGAGCATCTTCAATGCAAAAACATCAACACTGCGTGTCTGCGTACGTGGCATAAGTGATAATGGTTTTGTTTTGTAAAGTCCACTTTTTAAGAGTAAACGGTTTTATTTTATTCACTTAATCAGCATATCAATATTTAATTACGTAGTACTCCGTATATTTTTATTTAGACTTTACAACTTTATAGAGATTTTTATGTAGTTTATGAATATGTAAATTCTAATTATTAAAAATTCATTCAATTATCATCACGGACAATTTAACTTCAATAGAGAAAATTTTTATGTAGTATTTTACCTTACTTCAAAAAAGATTGAATAATACGAAGTATTAGTTTTTATATGAATGTTCCGACATGTATATTGTATATAGACCGCTATAAAGATACATCGTTGCACGGCTTGAAGAAAATAAATGCATTATTATTTAAAATAAGGACTAAAATAGAGAAAATTGCTCATTGTGGGATTAAAAACATACACAGTAGCATTTTCCAAAAAATAAGACCACACATGTGTATGGTTTTCCTTAAGAGTAAAATCACCAATGGTACGCGCAACGGCGCAAGAGACTAATATAGTAAACAAGAATCTCAAGAATAATTTGAGGAGGAACTCCCAATTCCGAGTAGGGGATAAGGTTAGATTTTGGTGGAACTTCTCTGGTTGGAATTGGCAAATCCTACTGGCTAAGGCACTCATTTCTTTTTAAAAAGTCATATAAATACATCTATTTATAAAAATCAATTGGATGAGTCCTAATAACCCGTTGAAAACCTCGACTATACCTCGCATGTCGTTATTTTTATCTTGTATTTAAGTCAATCATAACTAAATATCTCACATCAATCATATAATTTATTTTAAAAAGATAGTCAGACGTATGCTAAAATCGGGATTACGAGATTGTCAAAAGGTCGATCATATTGACTCATTCAATTGTTTTTTTATAGGTAGACGTATTTAGATGACACTTTATCGAGTACATGACTTTATGAGACGATTTCATAATACTAGAAGCTACTCCCAACAATTCAACAAACACATCTAGTTGGAATTGCTACTTCCCACTAGAGTAAAAGCCAAAAAATTATAAAATATTAAATAGAACATTTATTAAATATTGAATAAAATGGTTTCCGAATTATTTCTAAAAAAATAAATCTTTTGTTGGATTCCTCACTTAGCTTCCAACAGCAGGGTGTGCCACATAAATTTTTTATGAATTATATAAAATTTCTAATAATTTCAGTGTCAATCTGACCCATCTATAGTACAATTTGAACAAATAAATCACATAAAATAAAATTTAATAAGATAAAATTAATGAGATAAATGTCTTCTGAATTATGATTGGAATAAATTGACTAAAATGATTTCGGATATATTAAAAAAGGGCAATTTTGAACAATTATTGTAAAATATATAATAAATAGTTATGCTTTTTACTTGGAAGTGGGACTATAAAAAAAATTGGTCAGATTGCTCACTTCCAACTCAAGGTGGCGGAATTTTAAGCTTGAGCTCTGGTCGGAAGTACGAGTTCCAACAGGAGGGTGTTTAGGAATTAAAATTAAACCCCAACTCCAGTCAGAATTCCTAGTCTCGACTCCCTTATTTTTAGAAACCTAAATAAAAGCCCGTGTTTTGACATTGTTAGCCGGTGGCTGATTATGTTAGCTGATTGATGACAGCAGATTCAGTTGGCTGTTTTGATTAGCCGATATAATTAGTCGTTTGTAAAATAATGTTTGGTTAAATGGTTGTTTACAATATTTAGCTGATTGTTAGAATATTTATTTAATTATTAATATTCTAATATTGGTCATGTATTTGGGGTTATATGTTATTAATAGAGTTCGTATAGTCCTAGACATTTAATTGGTTTAATGATAGGTTGAACCTATGTTTAAGTCTGTCTAGGACTAGGGTTCCCCAACCCTCTCCTCTGCCTCTATATATACGCTTATTCTCTATGGAATAACAACACAATATTAGTGAGAGATCTCTACGTGTCAAGAATCTCATAAGAAAGAGGCCAGAGGGAATAAGGGATTTATTCCAGTTCATGCATCTAATCTATCATGAATCATGCCGATCTTGGAATTTAATCTAACAATTGGTATTAGAGCCAAGTCCGTTTGACATCATAAATTATACTTACTGTATGAATGTTTAGTTGAATTTTTCGATTCCGTTGAATTTTTCGTGTATTGATCTGGAGCCGGTACGTTCATCGTTGCATCTAGGAAAATCCAATTCCCAAATTGTACACGGATCGTTATTCGAATGATTCAATTTTGATATCGCACGATCCAGAAAAGTATGTGCAAGGATGGTGCGAATTTAATTTTAGTTTTGTGTTGTGTGGCAAAACTTCAGCACTCATTCTGACCGTAAGCTGATTTTGATTTTTTGCTGATCCATCATATTAATTAAAAGTGATTCTGAAATTTTATATTGTGAGAATTTACTGATTTTATTGTTAAACACAAAATTCAAAATCATTGTTATATCATAAAATTTAATGAGGATCGCTCCGCCTGCATAAGATTGGTAAACCGCTCCGCTGCGTTTGGCTATGGCGGCGGCAAGCATCAACGGATGAGTCTGATGGCACGGTCAAGGATACACTTTAGTGATATTTTAGGGTTCTATGACTTAATAAATGCTCCTCATTTTGGTTATACGTACAGGCTAGTTTGGTATGTACCCAGTGTAAATTAAAATTTTGGGCTATTTTTGTATAATTATTTTAAGATAGATTAAAATCGTAACTTATTGCTAATTTATGGTATCGGTTTTTTGCACAAAATTTAAGCTTCCGCATATAAGAGACTTTTACGCACTAATAAAATTTAATGTGTTTTTAGTTTTGTGTCCGATTATTGTTTACTCAGTTAATTGTTTAAATATTTTGGTAGCCTTTTAATCACCAAAGTGGTCTGACTAGTTTATTTAGATCATTTTGTTCAAATTTATGTACTCATTTAAATTTCTAATGATAAGATTGGTTGTTAATCACTAAAGTGATACAACTAGTTTGGTTATTTAGAAATTTTGATTGAGTAGATCAAACTGATCATAATTAATCTACGTTTAATGAACATTTGAGTTTAATTATTTGCGTATAAGGAGTTTGTTAGTCACCAAAGTGGCCTGACTCGTGTGATAGTCAAATAATTAAATTTTTATGATCCATTTGATTAATTAATCTATGTTTGGTGAACATGTAAATTTAATTATTTACTTATAAGGAGTCTGTTAGTCACCAAAGTGGCCTGACTCATTTGAGAGTTAAATAATTAAATTTTTTATGATCTATTTGATTTATGTCCATAAATGTAATGCTTGTTAGTTACCAAAGCAATTGGACTAAATCAATTTAAACAATTTAATTGAGTAAAATTTAATATACGACTATATTCACTCATTTAAGTTTCTAATGTTATGATAAGTTGTTAATCACTGAAGTGATTTAATGGTTAACTTAGAAATTTTAATTGAGAGAATTGGTCATGATTTTAGTAGATATATATTTAAATTTAGTTATTTACATATATGGAGTTTGTTAGTCACCAAAGTGGCCTGACTCATACGGTTTGTCAATAATTAAATTTTATGTAATTACATATCTACAGTCGATTTAATTTATTGTCTATAAATATAATGCTTGTTAGTCACCAAAGTGGCCTAGCCAAGAGTTTTAGACAAATAAATCTGAAAGGTAAAATCGATTTTTATAATTTTAGGATACTAAATAATATAAAATAATGCATTGAAATTATATTGCTATATGATCACCAAAAGGTGGATCATGCATGTATAATTTTGCGATTTAAGAGACTAATTTTTATACTTGGATTAAATTGGGTTAATGTCCAAAGACAACACTCATTTAGTCATGTGTAATCAATTGTCTATTTTGGTATATTATTTGGCATCATCTTATGTATATATTTAAGGATCACCCAAAGGTGAATTTAAGCATATATGTTTAGGTTTTCTAAGAATGAATCTGTATTAGTTAATTCAAAGCATTAATAGTAAGCATGTATATTGTTGCAGCTTCGTTAAATCTCTTATCGTCCACGAACGATTTAATTAGGGAATTCATGTTAGATATCAAATCAAGCAAGATTGATACACATTTAGGTTTCGTGTGTTTCGAATCAAATCTCATAGAAGTTCCTAATAACACTTGGTGGTTAGATTCGGGTGCTTCTACTCATGTTTCTCACATAATGAAGGGATTTAAGTCCATCCAACCAATAAGGGGAAATGAACAATTTCTATTTATGGGGAATAGGATGAAAGCACGCATTGAAGGCATAGGGACGTATAGGTTGATCTTAGACACTGGATGTCCTTTAGATCTAGATAATTGTCTTTATGTGCCTGATTGTGCTAGAAATCTTGTTTCAGTTAGTAGGTTGGATGTGTTAGGATTTCATATCAAGTTTGGGAACAATACCTTTTCATTATTTAAGGAAAATTTTATTTATGGATCTGGTATGTTGGTTGATTCCCTGTATCGTTTTAATCTTGATTTGAAATTTACTGAATCTCTATTTAATGTTGAAAATAATGTGGGAGTTAAGCGTGGCGCACTAGATGAGGACTCAGCTTTCTTGTGGCACCAACGTCTCGGTCATATTTCCAAGGATAGGCTAATGAGGTTAGTTAAGAATGAAATTTTACCTCAATTGGATTTTAGTGACTGGGATGTGTGTGTTGATTGCATTAAAGGAAAACAAACCAAACACACAGTAAAGAAGGCGTCCACAAGAAGCACTCAATTGTTGGAGCT